ACTTACTTTATAAATAACAATAATTTTTGTAAGAATATCTGATTTGGAATTTTATAGTTTCCATTGTCTTTTTTTTTTTGTGGTCAATTTCCCTGAACTAAAATTTTAAAATCTATCATATTCAGTTCAATAATACTGCAAAAATTTTAGGTTTTATCTGATGGTTAGCTGTGAAAACCATGTAGGTTGTAATGCTTGACTTTATAGTTTATTCTTTAAAAACAATTGTTAAGTTCTTAACAAAATTGCAAGTCTTTAACTCTAAATATAATACCTCAATTTATTTTATTTTTAAAATTTATAATTAGGTAAGCCTTTCTTTGAATTATTAAACAACACCTAGTGAGACTTAAATCTGAGACTCAACAAAGGTCAAATTTTGAACAAACATAGGATATATAGATTTTATTATAAGAAAAACCTAGTACTATATAGTATATATAGTTATTCATAACTACATGGAAAAATTAATAATTTAGGAGAATTTATTATAAATTTAAAGCTTAAAGAGATTATTTGTACCTAACATGAAATTCAGGAAAATTATGTACAAATCAGGTCAGAAAAGAAGAAAATTATGTATAGTTTTTCTTTAAATTAAAGAATTCGACCTTATTAGTATCGAGTAATAATGTGATAGAGATTAATTAGAGAGGGAGTTGGGGGAGAGATAATTGCAAGACTAAATATCAATTTAATACCTTGAATTTCTAACAAAAGAATTTTCTTGACAAATTGACATCATAGTATCATACTATTAAAATCACTAAATATTCACTCTAGCAAAATATCAAAATATATTTATGGTAACAAAATATTTCTATCTATAATCTTTAAGATGTTATAATTTTTTAGCATTAAAACAACTTTTAAAAAAAAAAACATTAAGTGGGTTAATTCAACAAATCGGTTAGGTTAACTGAGTTTCTCTCAGGTTGACTAGTTACACCGAGTCACTTTTAGGTCGATCCCATTGCCGGTTTTTCTGCTAACCACACTGACCAGGTGATCCGTTGGCCGGGTTTTGATCCAGGCCAATCGATCTGGTCCGCTTTTCAACAGTATGAATTGTGATAAAGTTCTCGGATTAATTCTGCTTTTTAAAAGTGTTGGAGTATTCTATTTTTTTCTGCTAGGATAGGAATATTCTATTTTAAAGTTAATTAATGGCCAAAACAATCAATGCACGGTAGGGGATATTTAGTCGAAAGGAACAAAAAAATAATGCGTGATGACATAGATTTTGACATCACATCAAATTTCAATCAAGTTCTTTGATTACTTGCAATCACAAAGAGCAATCATATATGCAAGTGTTAAAGAAATTAAATATATACTAATTAGATAATAAAAGAAACGAGTTCACAAAATTTCATATACTACTTTTCCTCTGTCTCTTTCGAAAATACGACCCTATGATTTTATACAAGATCCAATTTAGCATGGATTTGAAAACACTACTTATAATAAGAAATTAAGTAATTTTTTTATTAGATAAAATTTTTCTCACACAATTACTATCTCTGGTCCTAAATATAAGACCTAGTTGACTAATTTGAGTAAATTAAAGAAATAAGTTAAATTAGTTATTTGTAATAAATATATGTTATCTTTTCTAAAATATCCTTGCTAATCAAGTGTATTGGCTAAAATTATCATTATTAGAAGGACTATCTTGGAGAAAATGTATAAATATGAAAGTCAAAGTGGATTGGGGTCTTATATTTAGGATCAAAATAAAAGTCAAACAAGATCTTATATTAAAGGCCGGAGGTAGTATCTCGTATATCTTAAAATTAATTTAAATAAGCTTGTGCAAATAAAGATTTGAGTGAGTGTCTAGAACTTAACTAAGTTGAGTATAGGAAACTATCAATAAGTTAACAAGTTGTTAGTTGATATGGTAAGTAGTTTTACCCTGTAAGGAAGAGAATACAAATTCGAATCCCAAAAAATGCACTTACTCAAAAGGCTTTAACTTTAACGTACTCCTAGCCCTACAGAGATTATTCTTAAGTCTAAAGTAATTTGATTACACTTTGAGTTAAAAAAAAAAAAAAACAGAGATCTACACCATCCAGTCTAGATTTGATAAGTTTTGTTGCTTTTCCATGGCGAGAAATTAGAAGGCTTTCAGCCCTCACGGGGAATTAGACAGGGCGATCCCATTTCTCCTTATCTATTTGTACTCGGAATGGAAAAACTTACCCATATGATCCTAGATAGAGAGAGAGTGAAACAGTGGAGAGGCTTGAGAGTAGGCAAATCAGGACCTATTATATCTCATATGATGTTTGCTGACGATCTTGTTCTTTTTGCAGAGGCGAGTCTTTCTCAAATTGATAACATCTTAAATTGTTTACAGGAGTTTGGGGAAATATCAGGACACAAGATTAGTCAAGAGAAAACAGTGATCTTTTTCTCACCAAATGTTCCGGTGCAATCAAGGAGGGCAATTTGTTCCAGAAGCAATTTTAAGGAGGTTGCTGAGCTCGGTAGATACCTGGGGGCAAATATCTCTCACCAAAGGAAAAGACGGAACCGCTATTCAGGCATGCTGGATAAACTCAAACAGAAACTGGGGGGATGGAAGGCCTCTAGTCTATCAATGGCAGGAAGAATCACTCTGGTCAAAGCAGTTACTAGCTCCATGGCAATTTACCCCATGCAACACGATAAACTGCCAAAGGGAGTATTAGAGGAGATGGAAAAAGTGCAGAGGAGGTTTATATGGGGGGAAGAAGGAAACAAGCACTCTTGGCATGCGATTGGATGGGAGACGCTATGTAGAGAGAAGTCTCAAGGAGGGATGGGAATTAAGTCAATGATAGAAATGAATGATGCCTTCATACATAAGCTGCTATGGAGATTAAATACCGAACCCAACGCATTGTGGGTTAAGGTGTTGCTCGGTAAATATGGAAGAGGGTCAAGTACTAGGGACAGACCTATAACAAAAGCCACGGACTCAAGACTCTGGAAAGAAATGGCTAGAGCTTGGGATAGATTTCAAAAAAATGTGTCAGAGGCCAGAAGTCCGAACCAGCAAGATACAAAGGGTCTGAAATGGAGGTTAACTAGCAATGGGGCTTTTACTACCTCGAGTGCGTATCTAAATCTAAAAGGTATGCAAAACTCATCATATGGAAAACACTGGAAGTTGATATGGAAATTACGCTTACCAGAGAGGGTGCGTGTCTTTATCTGGAGAGTCCTTCACAAAAAACTCCCCACGAAGGATGTCACAAGTAATTGGGACGGAAGCCAAGGTTGGTGTGAATTATGCAACCGCGCCAAGGAGAATCACCAGCATGCCCTGAGAGATTGCCTTTATGCCTCTTCTCTCTGGAGGAAAATAGTACCGTGGCAAGCAAGACCCAAGTTCTTCGGTCAGGATTGGAAGGACTGGGTAATAGGGAATATTCTAGATAAACGACGAGTCTCTGAAAATTTCAACTGGAATGAACTTTTTGCAATGGGAATTTGGCAAATATGGAACTGGAGGAATCTTCTGATTCATGATGAGGAGTTTGAGTTCCCGTCGAACCCGGAAAAAGTTATTTACAACGCTTTGCAGTACTACCATCACAGGTGGGGGGAGATGCTGATAGAGAGGGTCATAGAAAGAGATAGGAATATCAAGTGGAGAGCACCTGAAAAGGGGTGGTGCAAGTTGAACACAGATGCGACTGGTCCGGAACAGGGCATGAACGGATGTGGAGGTGTAATAAGAGGGGAATGTGGCGAATGGTTGGGAGGATTCACGATGAAAATCAGACAAACCAGTGCTACTAACGCTGAAGCCAGAAGCTTATTGGTAGGTCTTCAAGAATGCTGGAACCTGGGGTTTAAGAAGGTCGAGGTGGAGTGTGATGCCAGCCAGGTAGTTGAGGCCATCAACAGTGACAAACCCTGCAACGGAAGTCTTTGGCTCTTTACTATGATACGCAATATGTTACAGAAAGACTGGCAAGTGAAGGTTAATCACATCTATAGAGAAGGAAACGGTTGTGCGGATTGCCTGGCAACGATAAGTCTGGAACAAGTTGAACAGTGGGTCAGATGGTCGGCTCCCCCGAGTATGCTGGAGAAAATGCTCAAGGAAGAAGCCGCTGGAGTATTGTAGTTGTTTGTTTCTCTTAGTGTTTATTTGTTGGGCTTAGCCCCTTTTTTCACCTAAAAAAAAAAAAAGAATATATAGAGCAAAACAACGTGTCTGACTGTAGCATTCCCACTAAAATGAAACCTTATATGGAGGATCCACTACATAGAAAGCATGTTATTATTATACTTTACAATAACTAAATACTCCTCCGATCCTTAATATAAGACTCATTTAACTAATTTGCTTAGATTAAGAAAGTTAGGTAAGTTAGTTAATTATAAGAAAAGTGACATATTTTTTCTAAAACACTATAATTATCTTTCTTAATACCCCCTCTCCCTCTTCTATTTGATTATGGTTGAGGGAGTATCTACAGGGGTAATTTAGAAAAAATTGATAAATATAAGAAATGGGTCTTATATTTAGGACCAAAACCAACTCAAGAATTGAGTCCTATATTAAGAACCGAAGGAGTATATATATATATTCATTATTATTAACTAAAACGTTATGTTTAATAATTTTGTTGAGTATTCTCTTTCGTTTGCCTTTATGTCCTTTTAGATTTAAGAAGTATTTGAATAGAAATCAAATTATAGTTTTAAAAATAATTTAAAGGTATATAAAATAAGTATGCAAAAAGAATTTTATCGGATTTGTGTGAAAATATTTTTCAAAAATGTTTTTTGTGATTTCTAAACACCCCCCAGAAGTGTTTCATCTACCTCTTCGCCCGTGCTTCCAACAACAGTCTTTGAACGTCTAGCCGACTCCAAATGATTGATTATATGTATGGAAAGTCCCCAAAATAAAGCACAACAAACAAAGAAACAAGTGAAGTGAGAAAGCTTATTGTTTAATCTCTGGGGTGTGAGTGAGACAGAGAGAGAAATCAATGGATTTGGGGAGCGAAGTTGAGAAGAAGGTCAAATTTGAAGCCAAAATGGAAGAACCACAAGCATATGCTTTATACAGCGACTGGCTCTCCTTCAAGGCCTTCTTCCAGAAAGACCCAAAAGCCCTGATCGACACCTTCGATCTCGCCGGAAACACCGCGATCCAGGTCGCCGTCCGGTCGGACGACCCGGAGCTCATCCGGCAACTGCTGGACATGCTTCCAGAAGACTCCGATCGCCGGCAAGCGCTGAGGACGGGGAATGCTCACAAGAACACGCTTGCTCACCAGGTGATTTTCTGCCAGAATCTGAACATGGTGGACACTTTGCTGAACTATGAGATGGACAAGAAGCTGAAGCAGGCTGAGGATGAAGATCTGTTCGAGCTTCTGAACGACCTCGGCGAAACTCCGGTGTACCGGGCCGCCAAGTACGGGCGGTTCAGGATGGTGAAGCACATGGCCGGATTTGTAAATATAAAGGACCATTTTCACAGACGCCAACCAAAACTAGACACAACTTCCATTCTTCACATCGCTATAATTGGCCACCATTTTGGTATCTATATATATATTTTCTGAGATTCTTAGTTGGATAGTATCAAGAAGCATAATCCTCAGACACTAAGGTTGAATTTAAATAAGCTAATTGAAGCTGACGATATGGTGCAGATGTAGCATTGTGGTTATCGAAAATGGAAGGGATTGAGAAGGTAGCATTTGCGAACGATGGAAACAGATTGACGTGTCTTCAGCTGCTTTCAAGAATGCCTTCAGTTTTCAGGAGCTATAATTCCCGGGCTGGATTTATAGACAAACTCATTTATGCTTGTACGTGTACCACTTCTCTCTCTAGTCTCTCTCCCTCTCTTTTTAATACTTTACATAGAAAGTGAAATTGCTTGTAGTATAACTTGTCAAGGTCCCAGGACCCTTAAAAAAGGATTAAATGAAAAGTCATGGCAAAAAAAGAGCATGGTGGGGTGATATGAGATCGAGAGAGTGTCCGCTAGAAACCAAACTACAGTTTAAAAAGTAATTTTATAATATATAAAATAAATACATGAAAGAGTTTGTCTTGATTTATTGAAAAGTTCTTTTTAAGAACATTTTTGGGATGTTTCAAACTCCCGCAAGTTTTTAAGGTCATTGGAATTGATTATACATATGTGTGTATATATACGTATATATATAACTTGGGTGTGTAGTTCTTCCGGAGAAAGGTTATGATGAAAGCAGTAGTGATGATGAAGATGATGGATTCATGAAGAAAGGGAAGAAGGAAGATCTAGAAAGTGCAAAAAGAAAGGTAAACAAACCCATGTCGTCGTCTCCTGCAGGTACCTATATGTATGCGTACGTATTGGATCATAAACACATAAACTATTTTCATCATCAGAACAATACATAGTTGATGTCTTGTTGATATGAATTTGATGCTACTTTTGCAGTTTTCTCAAGGATCTACTATATCATCTGGAAAATTGCGGCCAAAGGTGAGATGATTTAATCTTGCCTCACTTTTCGTCCGTATAATTGTTTGCAATATTCTCTCTCCTCCCTCCCTCACCACCAACGAAAAAAGAAAAAGTATCATAATCATTTTATAAAGTACTACCTCCGCTCCTTAATATAAGACCTCGTTTAAATTTTATTTTAGTTTTAAATATAAGACCCTAATCCATTTTGTCTCTAATATTTATGCATTTTTTTTCCAAGATAGTCCTTCTAACAATAGTAGTTCTAGCCAATACACTTGATTAGCAAGGATATTTTAGGAAAGACAACACCTATCTATGACAAATAACTAACTTAACTTTTTTTTCTTAATCTCCTCAAATTAGTTAACTAGCTCTTATAATTAGAACTGGAGGTATATAGTAATACTTTTTAGCATTCTTTACTTTAATATTCACTAATAAACTAAACCACTTTTTAGTGAGCTAGGTGAACCACACCTTCCCTAAATAATGAATTTTATTGTAGGTAATTTTAAAACCGAAAAATCATTCGCAGGTCTTAGGTTATCCTTTGAAATGTAAAATAAAAAGATGAGAAATTAATGTTTAAATTTTAGTCTATCATATTTTAGAAGGCGAGTACAAACTTAAAAAATGAAAAACAAAAAATACAAATGCAAATCTATGTCATTTTTAGATACTATAGGGGTGGATGTAAATATTAAAAAAAGTAAAAAAAAAACGAGGTATTAAAAAATTCTTATTTACAGGTTAAACTTTCATATTTGTATTTCAAATTTTACAATTTTATATTTATAAATGAAAATTTTATATTTACAGTCACTAAAAAAATAGTGAATTAGGGTCGCTAATTAATTTAGTGACAAAATTCCATGGTTAATTAATTAGTTATGGTCTTCCTTACGATAGAATTTACAAATTCCATCGTTAATTCACAGTTTTTTTTTTTGTGGTAATAAATCGTTTTTGCCAATTCAATGTATTTACAATTATGATGGAACATTAACATATATTTTCAATTAAGGGCATTTTCATCAATCAAGCTTGTTCTTTCAGTGAAAAACTTTGGCACTCGTATTTTATTTTGCAAATTTAAAACACTTGTGTGCCATTAGTTTCTAAAAAAAGGGACTTGATTGTGATTTTCTCTTATGTGAAGTGGTTGAAATGTTAAATGCAACTTATTAGGTCCATAAAACACATATACGCCACGTACCAAACTAATAATATTCTGACTTGTGACATACATGTTGGGAAATATGCAGAATGGGATATGATGAAAGAAATCTGGGAGAGGAAGAAGAAGCACAGGCTAGCAGAAGAACTAGCAGACTTCTTAATAAGCCAAGACAACTCATGGATGGACACAAAACATGGAGAACCTCGAACTGAGGTTGTTGTGCCGGTGATTCAACCTTCAACAAAGAAAGCCAAGCTTGAAAAGACACAATCCTTAGAAAACCCCATTCCCTGCAAAGATTACACGCCATTGTTGCTAGCAGCAAGCACCGGCATCGTCGAGATCGTCAAGAAAATCGTTGACCTTCATCCCGACGCCATCTCGCATGTGAGCCAACATGATGAGCAGAACGTGTTACATGTCGCCGTCAAGCATCGTCAGAAGAATGTTTACAAGGTTCTGAAGAAATATGGAGCTCTCGGACGCTTAGGATCTCAGATGGCCAACCAAGGTCGGACTCTTTTGCATCAGGTTGCGAGGATGGATTATTATGATGGAGGAAATCAACCTGGTGTTGTCTTCCAGCTTCAGGAGGAGCTACGTTGGTTCGAAGTAAGTATAGTATAATTAATTAATTAGCCTTTTGGTTTGCGTTGAGAAAAGCATATAAATAAGTTTAACATCACATATTGACCAAATTCTCATTAAACTTGCAGAAAAAGCATATAAATAGAGTAGGTATAAGCTATTATAAGTCCATATATAGACCTCTTGTGTGTGTATTTTCAAATAGCTTTGATTATGTGCAAGGTATTAAAATGCAATCCAAGTCGCTTAGTCAGACTAGTGAATTGGTGAACTAGTCTTTAAGTCTGACCACGGCACCAGTTTTGGTGTTCATTCATTTGATGAGCACCATAAACTAATCAGATCTGAACTGTCTATATCTCATTTGGGTGGTGCATGTTTGATTTTTTTATATTTTTTTATTCAAAATAATTATTTTAATATCTATAGAATCTAAAACAATGATGATCTCTTAACTATCATTCTTTTAAAAAATAGTTTATTCTATTCAAAAATAATTAATTAAAGATTTTAAATCTGGATCGTTCAAATGAGATATAGACGGTTCAGATCTGATGAGCTTATAGTGCTCATCAAAGAGATGAGTACCGAAACTAGTTCTGTTTGACCACGGGTTGACCCAATTGAAATTTATATTTTTCTTCTCTTACAAAGTTTGAAACAATGTTGTTTTGAGTTTAAAGAAAAATATATATACATACATGCATGCGCGGTTTATTAACTTTATTTATTTGTGAATTAATAATCTTTTTATTTAAATATTATTCTATTCATAATTTTATATGAATATGTTGTATATTTTAATTACAATTGTGTTATTCTTATCATTGGGTTGATTCTGGTTTAATCACAATTAGACCATAGACTCCTGAAAAATTATCTTAGTCCGGTTTAATGATCAGTTGGGTTTTTAATCCCTTGATTATGTGGTACTTTTTCTTTCCACTACTCATCAATCCTTGAGCTCTAACAAGTGATGTCTATCTGATGTGCAATATGTAAGAATTTCTTAATTAGATTAAAAAACTGATGAGTTGCAATCATCACTTCAAAGTTTCAAGAAAGTAATATGAACCAGAAAGAAAACTTTCGTTTTTGTTTTTTGATACAAGAAGGCTAACTATTATTGTATATATAATGTTCATGCAGCGAGTGAAGAGGATAGTACCTATTCCTTACCAGTTATTTTGCAACGACAATAATTTAACAGCAAAAGAGCTTTTTGATTTAGAACACTCAGAAATGCTCAAGGAAGCTCAAGAGTGGATCAAGGGCACAGCTCAGTCGTGCTCCGCGGTGTCCGTCCTGGTGGCCACCGTGGTCTTCGCCGCAGCCTACACGGTCCCAGGCGGCATCGACGAAAACGGCGTCCCCGTCCTCATCAACTCTCCACTCTTCCTCTTTTTCGCCATCATGGACGTTGTGGGGCTGGCAAGTTCTCTTGTCTCAGTGATGATGTTCCTTTCCATTCTTACGTCCCCATTTCAGATGCAAGAGTTCTACAAATCCCTGCCCAGAAAGCTCACAATGGGATTCACCTTGTTGTTCATCTCTTTAACCACGACGTTGCTGGCTTTTGGGTCAACCATTTTGCTGACAATAAGAATGGAGAACAAGAAATGGAGCTCCAGTTTGATTTACAGTGCTACGTTCTTCCCTGTGACTCTTTTTGGATTGACGCAATTTCCCATTGTGATGGCAATCAAGTACAGAATGAAGAGGCTGAAGAAGACCATAAAGAGGTTGATTCCCAATGATATTATTACCATATCCACCAAACCCAAGAAGAAAAGAGTTTACTCAAAATACGTATGACGAGCATCTCGATCGAGTCCAAAGAAGCATTATTATATGTTTTAAGTATATTCATGTATATGGGTTGGATAAATTTCTTCGTGTATTATATGAAATAGTTTTGTCCTTGTAACTTATAGTAGTAACTTTGTTTTATCACGGTGTATTATATTATATGAACGAAATATAGCTACTCGTTCTCCTTCCGTACATGATGTTACTTTCGTGGCTTTCAAACGGAATTAGTCCCGGATCAAATCTCGAACATTAAAATTTAATATAGGCGGCTGAGATTTAACTTTTTATATTTTTGATTTTTAAAAATATTTTTCTTTAATAAGTAAATAATTCAAAATAAATGTAAGGAAAAATGACATGAAAATGACACTTGAATTTACAAAATCCCAATTTAGTCACAAGTGATCAATTTGCCATTTATAAATTTATTAAAATGACCATATTGTCCTTTATTTTATTTATTGTTTTTTAAAAAATTAAATGCCCCCACTAGCTGGCCGGTCGTCAGAGCTCTGGGGCATGAATTGGATAAATTATATGAAATAGTTTGTGTCCTTATAACTTATAGTAGTTACTTTGTTTTATCTCTTCTTCATGTATTATATTATATGAATGAAATATAGCTATTCCTTATCGTTCCAATCATGATGTTACTCTTGTGGCTTTCAAACTTGGTCTCAATCTCAACATTCTGGTTCACTCATTGATTTCATTGTTTCCGCTTTGTCTAGTGGCTCTTTCAGGTTCCCAGCCATTTTCTTGCCAAATCAAGTTGGATTTTAAGAGTTGAACAAAACATTTTTCATTTTATTATGAGACTGTGGGTGCGCAGTGAATCATTATTGTTGCTATTCATTTATATGACCTAGTTTGCCCCTCAAGCACGTGAATATCTTCCTATTGGACACAGTCCTATTAGAAGTGTTGTCTCTTAATGCCAAGTTAGAAATTTAAGAGAAAGTGGTTGACCAAAAAAAAAAAAGAAATTTAGGAGAAAGTGTATGGAGAGAAAAGTGAATAAAGCTCACAGTCAAAAGATGATGAGTTGGCGCGTACAATCTCATACACACACACACACATGCAGTCACATATGTACAAGAGATGAAGTACATGAGTTATTGACACATACGTGACTAACAAGTAACAAGTGGGACCTCTTCTAATGAAGCTTTGAACTTTGGTTGATCATATTATGAGAGGACTAGCCCATTTCGACTACATTTAATCCCGTTACTTAGTTTTTGAGGGCGTAGTTGGAGTCTTTGGGTTGCTTCTCTCACCTGTTTGTTTGCGTGATAATAAATTTACTCTTTATGGTCTTTCTACTGAACCTTCAGCCCAATCTGGTCCCCTCCTCATTACATTTCAGCATATTGGGCACCTTCTTCGTCAGCTTTGACAAGTTATTCATCTTTCTAAACTCTTGCCAACACACAACAGTCCTAACTTTTACCATCAAGTGCTTGATTTGATTGGTAGGGATTCGTATCAGCTTAATTAGAGGTCTTGAGTTTGAATCTTTTGAGTACAATCGCGTGTTAACTACTTACGGGAGAGTTTTAATTTGCCGCCTTTTGTGATCATACCTGACTCTATGGTCTCGTTTGGTATGAAGTATTGAAGACGAGGAATAGGGATATTGAAAAAAATCATTAAATTTTTTTTTAGCATTAGTAATTACTTGTTACATGAGATTAGACAAATTTATAGAAGTGGGATTAGGGAATACCACTTCCTCCCATGGTATTCTCCAATCACACATGTATGGATTTGTCTAGTCTTATATAATAAGCAATCTCTCATGCTAAATACTTTCTTTGGTTCAAAATATAAGTTAAATTTTGTTGGAGGGGCTTCGTATGTTTTATAAGATAACATTTATTTTTGTGTAAGCATTTAATGAGTTTTTTTCAACTTTACCCCCGTATATCTTTTTCCGCTTTGATTCATTTATTACATTTTTTACTTATTCCTTTCATTAATAAGGGCATATTTAGGGGGAAAAAATGCATCCCTTACACATTTATTGTTTTAAATTGATTTTAACTAGTTTCTTAAAAAACGTAAATAGATAAAGTTTAGCTTATATTTTGAACTGAAGGAAATACTATTTTATCAATCATAATCCCATTCTCTATCCTTTATTTTTTAATGTTTCGTATTAATACTACCTATATGAATTAGTTTTTGGATCCTCTCATTAAGTCTTTCAGTTTAAGTGAGGCAAGTTGAAGATATCAAAAGGCGTTGTTGTTAGCTGGAAAAATAGTCATATCTTTACTTCAAAAGATAAAATGGGAAAAGGCTAGGAATGATATTTTGGAGCTAACACATCAATTTAACTATATAATTTAGAACTAAACTAACATATTTTCAAAGGGCAATAACGGACCAAAGGTTCTCAGCAATCATATGTGTTATTTTACTTGGTTACCCATTTTTCTTTTGTTTCATATATGTTAGAAATTAGAAGATTAATTGATAGTTGTAAAGTATTATATCGTTAGTAGTAAATAATTGAAGAGGATGATGTTTCAATTAAGCATCCATTCTCCATGTTAAATTGTTTAACTAATACTAGTTTGCTATTTTGCATATTAGTTAAATAAGTTTTAGGGCATTATTTGCCAAAAGAAATTAATTTTTTTCCGTCCAATTTTAAAAAAATTAATGTGAAATTTCTATATCCATGTGTTAGTTAAATGGTTTCATTTTTGTGTACCTAAAATACAATTTTAAAATATTTGGGTCCCAAAAGCTAGAAGAAAATTCTACCTCGCCTTTTTTTAAAAAAAAAAAATTAAAATGAACTAATCATATGTTCCAAAGGCAAATTAACCGGACACTTTTTTGTTTACTGTTTAGGCATCCCAACAAAAAAAAAAAATAAAGGTATAATGAATGCGACTTTGAGGATAAAAAGGAGAGGTTGACTCGGAGTTTGCAATATTTTGTTCCTGCGATTTTTGACATATAACTTGAATGATTGATTGAGCTCACCATCAAAAGCTTAAATTATTTAGAAAAGCTGACCCTTTTATAAAAGAGAGCTCTTAAAGAGAGAAAAATGCAAGTGAAGTGGGGAATAAGTTCTGTGAATAAAGCATAACAACATTCTGGATTTGGTGAAAATACCAACAAAAAAATGGAGTAAACTGTCAACACCTACAATACAAAGCATGGATCCATAATGGGCCAAGCAACTTGGGCTTACGGCCCAATACATTCAACTATAGTCTCTTAACACCCCCTTCAAGTTGGGGGTTATACAAACTAACATCACCTAACTTGCGTATCAATCTCTCATGGTCCTCACTACCTAGAGTCTTTGTCAAGACATTTGCTAGTTGATTCTTACTACTAACATGTTGTAAATCAATTACTCCTTGTTGTAACTTCTCACGCATGAAGTGGCAATCTATCTCGATGTGCTATGTGTGTTCATGGAAAACGGGATTACTTGCAATATGAATTGCAGCTTTGTTGTCATAGTAAACTTTCACCAGCTCAAGTCCTCTAATGTCCAGATCTTTAAGTATGCGTATCAGCCATGTGACTTCAGAAACAGCTGATCTGAGGGCTTGATATTCTGCTTCAGCTAATGACTTTGACATTGTTGGCTGCTTCTTAGACTTCCAGTGGATTGGAGACTTGCCAAATTTAATTAGGAAGCTAGTTACTGATCTCCTTGTATCATGACAAGTTGCCCAATCAGAATCTACAAAACGCTCCAAGTCTGTTCTGTTTGTTGTAGTGAGAAATATTCCCAATCCAGGATTGCCCTTTAAGTATCTCACAACACATGTCATTGCCTCTATATGAGATTTTGGTGAGGCACTCATAAACTGACTAAGGGTCTGCACAGCAAAACATATATCAGGTCGAGTCATGGTATGATGAGATAACCTACCCACTAGATGTCAATATGTTGGAAGGCTCTTGAAGAAGAGGATCCAAGTTTGCTTGAGATTTTTGTTTCTTTCTGTTTGCCTTGATGGACCTCATTTGAATTCCTTGAGTTGATAACCTGACGTTTCTCTCCATAGGGACCTCAACGATTTGGTTGCACTTAAACTTGTATCTAAAATGAAATCTAAAGCATATTTTCTCTGATTAAGGATGATGCCTTTCTTAGACCTTGCCAACTCTAATCCCAAAAAGTATTTAAGCTCTCCCAAGTCTTTAATTCTAAACTTTTGATGCAAGTTATTTTTAGTTTCATTAATTCTGTCAATGCTGTTTCTAGCAACCACAAGGTCATCTATGTAACAGCCATTGTAACAAGTAGTAATTAAACATTTCTAAAATAATAATTAATACTTTAAAGATCAATAAATAGAAAAGAGTTAACCAAAAACATTTAGGAAATAACTATGGTAGAAAGAATAAATCATATAATTAAGAACTACTCTAGTTATATAAAAGGCCTTGCTAATCATTTCAAAAAATCAACCATGGTATAAAGGGCAAAACTAATCAAGTAGAAGTCCACCATGGTTATTAACAATTCGCATCTATCGTAAAGCAGTAGTCACTATTTCATAATAGCCAAAATGATTAATATAACAAGAAATAACCAACAATTGATTTTCATGTATATGAAAAATCCATCAACAATACCCTGGAATCTCAAAATACAACTAAAACTAGTTGTAAATGAGCTAGGACATTTGAAATCCATCAAAATAACTACCACTACTGCTTATATCAATCGCAGCAAGAATAAAAGTCACATATATCCAAAAAGGGTTCCGCCCAACAGTATAAGTCCAGAATACAGTGGGAAAATTAAGAATATGTTAAGTATAACAAAAAGGCCCTAAAATTTGGCAATATACATCAATCAAATCATATATGACAAAATAGAAGCTATATAGAGTGGAAAGGAAAACTCTAGCCTCGGACAACTTTCCTTTGGGATGAATACTTGAACCCTTACCTGAAAATATTAAATAACCACAAGGTGAGTCAAATTGACCCAGTAACCACAATTCCAATTCAACAAGTATACATAAAGTGATTATAAGATCGTTAAGTGGGCAAAGTACAATTTCAAATAACATATAGGGTAAATGTCTTTACAGAAAACAATTATAATCATTTTAAAAGTAACTTGCATGTACAGAACTTCATCAACCATCCTTATAACCTCTTCGTAACCTTTGACAGAACCTATGGGCTATTCACACATAACAGGATTTGTCTTTTTAACAAGACTATACCAAGCTCTCCAATAATGAGGTGTAACTCAACCAAAAGTTACAAAACTCATATCGAACCATGGGTTCCCTTTTCTTGAAATACAGAAAGGTGTCATGTCCCTTGGGCTGACCCTTGACTTGGCCAAAAGAAGGGTGATACCGAGGGCCCTAAGAATGTTAAAGCTAGGCACTAGGTCCCAAGTGGTAGCTATACCATATGGTCTAAAATAATTAAACCTCCCACAATTACATTTCAGCACAACCCAATATAGTTTCATAAACATTTCAACCATCCAATTTCACACTATCCAATATTCATAAAGTATTTTCATATTCAATAATAAAAGTTTTGTTCAAGATCAATAAGATAATCACAAGATAAATAATTCATACCCACTTAACTAATAAATTTATCAAAACATAAATTTTCATATATATATATATTGTTCACTTTTTATACATAAATCACCATAACATGTACTGATAACATTTATAATATTAACACATACTTATAATCACATCAACAAGCATATAAAGTAAACGAGAAAGTGGTTACCTCAAGTTCTGATACAAGAACTAAACTGGGAGGATTCAAGACTCAAGAGCCTAAACCAAGCTCACTCCACAATAATAAATTAATAAAAAATAATTAATATAGCATTTAAATAGTTTATTAATTAAATCCCCACAATTAGCTTACTTACAAAATATTTAGGAATAATAATAATTCATTTGTTCCTCCAAATAATAATTTCTAGAACTTCCCAACTCTATTTCACTCATTAATATTATTAATAAGAATAATTCCTTCAAATAATCCAAAAGCCCTTAAAAGTGCTCACTTTAATTCTTAGAGAAAAATAACCATATATCACTATGCCTCAAATCATCATCACAACCCTATTCCCTTCTTCCATTAATCATCATTCATTCATTAGGATCATTAAAGTATAACATTTTTCCCAATTTATTCAAAACACCCAATTTCCACTAGTTAAAGTTTCACCAAAAATCATCAACATTCTTATTCCAACAAAAATCCTCAAAGCTCAAGTATTAAATCTTCAATATAATCTCCAATGAACTAAACTAAGAGATCAATTTAAAAATTAATATCACCATTGTCACTAATCACAATTTTCTAACCAAACCCTAACTTACATTTCCTCAAATCAACCATCTAAATAAAAATCTAGGTCATAAAACTCTTATTCTAACCCCATAAGCTCCATTAATATCATAAAAATAAGTTAGAAGCTTTAAAGATTAAAAATCTATCAAGCCCTAACAAATTTCATTTTCTGTCATAAACTTACAAAAATAAAAAGAAGAAGCTAAATAAAAATAGTGGGATGAAAATAGCTTACCTAAATATCTTAAAAGAGCCCCAAAACAAACCCTCTTTCTACTTCTCACACTCACTCACTCTTGCCGGAAGAACGCACGAACCGGTGGGAGGAAAGAACGAACGTGAGAATGAAAGGGGAAGGGGGAGAATGGTTTAACTGTGGGGGTAACACTTGACCCCCACTACTAATTTGTCCCTAGTGTTATATATATATATATATATATATATATTTATATATATTATGAAGGGCCATGGCCCAGGAGGGGTTTACCCCCTCCTCATTATTATATATTTTTTTAATTTTTAATTTTTATTTTCTAATATATTTTTTTATTTATTTTTTTAAAATTATATTTATATTTTTCATCAAAATTATGATTTATAATTTAGGTAGTAAGATTAAATTTAAGTACTATTAATTAATCTCCTTTTAATAAAACTTAAATCCTAAAACAAAATTTGAAATGTTACAATCTACATAAGCCAAAATCATAGTAATCTCATGTTTATCTTGTTTAACAAAAAGGGAGCAATCATATCTACTTTGCTGAAACCCCCCTTGTATCAAAGCCTCAGTAAGCTTGGCATTCCATTGTCTAGATGCCTGTTTGAGACTATATAAAGATTTGTTCAGTTTGTATACTTTGATGCTTGTAAACTGATCAAACCCTTGGGGGATTTTCATGTAAACTTCCCTATGGGGGTCCCCCCTGCAAGAATGCATTGTTGACATCCATTTGAAATAGATGCGAACAATGCATGACTGCAAGAGTTAAAATATATCTAACAGTAACCATCTTGACAACAGGAGAGAAAGTCTCAAAGTAATCAATTCCCTCTTGTTGACTATACCCTCTAGCCACTAATCGGGCCTTGTATCGTTCAACACTACCATCAGATTTATACTTAACTTTGAAGACCCATTTACATCTGATAGCCCTTCTACCTTTTGGAATGTCCACAATCTCACCAGTGTGATTCTGTTCTACTGCCTTCATTTCATCTCTCGTGGCACTCATCCACTTGGGATCACTTGCTGTATGCTCAAAGCTATATGGCTCAACAACATTATCAGTGGACATCAAATAATGTTTTAAATCAGTGGAAATATGAGCATAAGTGATATATTCATGTAAAGGGTATCTACACTTTACCTTTTCCTTAGTAGTGACTACATCCTCCAAGCATATATAGTCATTCAACCAAGTAGGAGATTTTCTATCTCGAGTTGGCCTATGTGATCCTTCCATGTGGCGTTCAGTGTCAATATTAATCTCATCACCATGATTGTCAGTATGTTTAGTAATATCAGGATTATTAGCAATGGAGGTCTGTTCAGGATTAGACTTGATAGAAACGTGGTCATCATACACAAAATAATCTAATATAGATTTGCTAATCCTATTCTCTGTACTACTAGACAAGGCATCTTTAAAAGGAACTTATTTTTCACAAAACTTACATGTCTACTTACAAACAAAATTTTTGCTTTGAGGTTATATAATAAAAATCCCTTTTGATTAGCGGGATATCCTATAGAAGCACATGTCTCAGCCCTAGGTTGAAATTTATCAGTATTAGACTGGCAGACAGTGAAAGTAAGACAGCCAAAGACCCTTGAGTGATTTAGATCAGGTTGTTTTTGATATAAAAGCTCAAAGGGAGTTTTGTAATTCAAAGCTTTGGAAGGAGTTCTATTAATCAAATAAGAAGCAGTTTTGATGCTTTTTCCCCATAATTTAATTGGAATACCAGAATGGAAAAGAAGACTCCTGGTCACATTAAGCAAGTGTCTATGCTTACGCTCAACCACACCATTTTACTGTGGCGTGTAAGAACAAGTTGTTTCATGAATAATGCCTTTTTTTAAATCAAAAATGTTTTTCAATTTACCATTAGTAAATTCTAATCCATTATTAGTTCTTATTCTTTTAATCACAACAGAAAATTGGGTACTAACATAAGTCATGAAATTGAACAGCAACTGAAAACTGTCACTCTTATTGATCATCAAGAAGGTCTAAGTACATTTAGAGAAGTCATCAACAATAGTAAGAAAATATGTGTCCTTTATAGGTAGGTTCCCTATAGGGACCCCAGATATCAACATGTAACAATTCAAAACAAGTGACAGAAACAAAATGAGAAAAAGGAAATCTAGCTTGTTTGGCAAGAGGACAAACATCACATTTGGGAATGGAAAAATCTACAATGTCTTTCTTTATCATATCTAAATGCTTGAGGACTTCCAGGGGTACATGTCCTAGTCTATAGTGTCATGGTTGGGATATCTTCTGCTTTGTGCCATTGGATTGAAAATTCATAAGTGCCTTGTCCAAGT